TAAACCCTGAACCCTAAACCCCCATCACCCGTTCTCCCATTCCCTACCAGAAACCCCAGGAGTAGATCCAACACGGATGCAGATAAAGCCCTAGACCTAAATCCTAACAAGTCTAAGGACCCTCAACCCTAGAAGCTAGAAAACCCTAAGCCCTAAACAACTCCGAAATCCCTAAACCCAAAAAAACTCAAACAACCCCAAGCCCTAAACTTACCGGTTGGGGATCTTCGGTTGCTTTCTTTGCGTTCCGGCTGGGCTGGGGCAGCAGCGGCCTCTCTCATAGAAGGAAAATGAGCCGAAAACCATGCTTAGGGGTTCAGGGTTTAATCAGGGGTTTAGGGTTTAGGGTTTAGGGGTTAGGGGTGCAGGGTTTAATTGGAGTTTAGGGTTTAGGGTTCCGGGACCCTGTCCTGAACGAAGACTAAGCCCCCTGAACCTTGAACCGTCAGCCCCGAACCCCAAACCCGAAACCAGACAGACCAGAGCCCAAGAGCCTTCAACTCACAAGCCCGAAAAGCCGTGGTGGAGCTGCGGATATACACTACTTTCTGAAACTTTCTTCAGAACCCTCATAGAACACTAAAAAAACCCAAATCCTAAATCCCAAACATATATATATATATACATACATACATACATACATATATATATATATATATGACCATACTGCCAAGCCGTAAGGTTCGTCGTGTTTCTCTTCATCTTCTCCGCCTTCGTCATTGCCGGGCACATCCTTTTCGGCTCGAAGCTGAGGGACTTCTCGCCACTGGGCCGAAACCGAGGGTTTAGGATTTTAGGGTTTAGGGTTTTAGGGTTTTAGGGTTTAACCCTAAACCCTAAACATCAGGTGCACATCATAGTGAAGTTGCACAGGCTTCTGGCTCCATCAGACTATGGTGAGTGTGGAAACCCTAAACCCTAAACCGGAGGCTTTCAGAGTACGTAGAGTAGGTAACCTGGAACTTTTTTGGGGGTTTTGGGTTTAGGGTTAGTAGTAGAGTAGGTAACCCTTAACCTTTTTGGGTTTAGGGCTTAGCGTTAGTAGTCGAGTCGGTAACCTTTGACTTTTTTGATCCCTTAAAGGAACCCTTGTAGGATCCCTTACAGGAACCCCTAAACCCTAAACCCTAAACCCTAAACCATAAACCCTAAACCCTTAGGGTTTCCGTGAAAGGAGCCTTTATACTGCTACTTCGTAAAGTAGGCAACCGTTAACAACCCCCTAAACCCTAAACCTTTAACCTTCCTTGGTGGTACTGTAATCCCTGTGTATTCCCAGAGGCTAACCTTTAGGTCCGAAAGGATGCTGGGCAAGTAGGTTTGCAGGGGTTTAGGGTTTAGGGGTTTAGGTTGCTTTAGGCTTTTGCTGCTGCTACGGCTTTGCATGGGCTTATATGACTTTGCACATGACCTTGAAGGGCGTTCTTTTGTAAGGCTTGTTTTGGTGGTGGGGTTTAGGTGGCCTACGGTTTCTACGCCCTCCGTGGGCATCGATATGTTTGCGGTCCAATTGCCATATAATCGGTGAGTAGGAAGCCATTGGAGCCTGCTTTTCGTGTTGTCCTTCGTCTTGAAGCCCTTCGTAAACCCTAAGCCCAGAAGCCTACCTTAAAGCAATAAGCCGTCTTGAGCTACAAGGACGGTCAAGGGCGCTTTCGCGAAGTCTCTGGAACAGGAGCGGGCAAAGCAGACTTGACTTGACTGCGGGTATCAGCGGGGTCTGATTGCGTCATGGTCGCTGAAGAGATTCCACCGTGTCCCTGTTCAAACTAACTGATCAAGCTCCTGCAGGGGCCAAGAATTGCTTTTCCGGTACAGCACAAAGAATGCGATTTGCTACATTCGTCATGTTCTATGCTTGTTACACGAACCCCTAAACCCCTAACCCTAAACCCTAAGTCTGTATTTGTATAAATAAACAATAAATATAATATATATATATATATATATACATATATATATATATATATATATATATTACATACATGAAGAGGCAGTGGCGTGTCGGATTTTCTGCAGGTCGTGTCTTTCAAGACGGACTGGGACGTGATCACGGAGCAGGAACCTTGGCTCAAGGTACTACTGTAGGGGCCATGATAATTAGAGCAGGGGGTTTAGGGTTTCCGTATTATATAATTATCGTATAAGGGGCCCCAAAACCCTGTTTAAATTATAAAGGCCCCTATATTGCTGTTACTGTTAGAGCCTTTGCTTCTGGTACATATACGAAGAGTTTCAGGCGCACGATACTCATAATTAGTCCTAGTGCCCACGAACACACAACAGCGGGAGTCTTCCGCAAAGCGAGGAAGAGGGGTTGGGTCGGTCTGGGGGTGAGTGGAAATACCACAGAGTCCAGCACGAAGCCAAGATTTCCAGTCGAGGGGGTGGCATGTCAGTAGCATCTTCTTCGCCATCATCGTCACCATCATCAGCATCGTCGCCACCATCACCGGTGCAATCCTCATCATCATCGTCATCGTCATTATCACAGTCATTACATGCTCCTTCATTGTCATTATCCGACCCGTATCGTGGTCAGCATCACCATGACCAGTCCGCCGCCATTTCATTTGCTCCGTCAGTCAGTCTCATCGTCGGTATGGTCGTGGCCATGATCGTCATCTGCTTCTTCGCCAAGACCGCCGGCACCGTCGTCACCCTCCCCACCTCCACCACCTGCACCACCCTCATCCCACCCCCACCACCACCACCACCATCTTCTTCATTATGAGCTGCTCAGCAGAAGCAGAAGGTGAGATCATGAATTTCAACGTCAGCCTTGTTGTGTCGGTTTGCCAACATCACACGATCATCGAGAAGCGTCCTTGCCGTCACGGACGACAGCGATTGCTGTGAGAAACTCTTGTTGGTGTAGTACAATAGGGGCGTAAATAATTACCAATATAACTTTGGGGGGTTCCCACATATATTGCCCCAAAACCTTATTCTAATTCTTAAGGCCCCTCTATTAGATGTTCCCGCGAAGCCCTAGACCCTAAGTCCTAAACCCTAAACCCTCAATCCTAAACCTTAAGCCCTAAACCCGAAGCCCTATAAACCCCTAACCCTAAACCCTAAACTCTAAACCCTATAAACCCTAAACCCTAAACCCAAAGCCACATAAAACCAAAGCCCTAAAAACCCAGGACTGGTGGACGGCGGCTATTTGGATCTGGTGCATGATCATTGTCGTCAGTCTGGTCGTCATCAACATCGCTGCTTGGTCGATAAGCCTTAAGACATCCCAAGAAACCCACTGAGAACTGTAGCCCTGATAATGTAATAAAGCCTAAGCCGGCTCTTGTTAAGGAATTTAGTGTAAATTACCAGATAGGGATCTATAGCAGCTAATATGGTTTCCTTGCTATGGTAACTTAGCTCAAATCCCTTAACAAGAACCCAGAAAGTGCTGAATCCGGATTCTAGCTCTGTACTTGGTGGCCGACGGGACTTAGAAAGTTCAGGGTTTAGGGTTTAGGGTTTAGGGTTTAGGGTTTAGGTTATGTTCGAGTTATCTGTCCCCTGTGAGGTTGTCCTCGATATATCAAGCTTACTCAGTCCTCTGACTTCGAATGCAATGGAGCATCACAGCAGACAGATAACCTGTTCTGGCACTCCTGCACCCTAAACTCTAAACTTGCGTAAACCCTAAACCCTAAACTTCCCTAAACCCTAAACTTTAAACCCTTACTTACTAAGTCCCATGATCCTCCAAGCCTGGGGCTCTCGGAGATTGAGTGTCTTTCTGGCTTCATTAAGGCTTCCAAGGCTTAGGCCTAAACCGAAGACGAGGTCCTCGCAGTCATCTTCGACTGTTACGGAAAGATCCGCGCGGGCATTACCGACCAGGCCGGAGACCGGCATATGTGCGAGCGACCATCCCCTTTAGAGTTCCCTTATATAGGGTTTAGGGTCTATGGTTTAGGGTTTAGGGTCTAGGGTTTAGGGTTTAGGGTCTAGGGTCTAGGGTTTAGGGTTTAGGGTTTAGGGCCTTCATAATTAGACTATAGTAAACCCTTTATTTAGAGTTCCCAAGGGTCCTAAGTACTGCTTTGGGGGAGACTTCCCTAAATCATAATGGTAATTCCTAATACTTAGATAGCCAATAGGAGAACTTTAAACTTTTTGGCCTTATCTATTAGGTCTATCCTGGAAAGTTTGATTTTTTTAGGCCTGGCTGTTGAAGAAGAGAGAATATAGAAACCCTACGTTCTACTGTATAGGTACTTAGGAGCCTAGGGGAGTTCCCTTATACGCATAGCTATGATATACCCCAAAAAAACCCTACTATCACCGTTATGGTGTCCTTATAAGTATAGCTATGATCTACCCCAAAACCCCTATAAGTATAGCTATGATATACCCCAAAAACCCTAAGATCCCCGTTTAAGTATAGCTATGATAAACCCCAAAACCCTACTTCTTCTGAGCATAGGGCCCTTAAGTTAGAGGAGTTGGAGCTTGCAATCGAGCGCAGTAGTGCGATTCCGCTGTAAGGAGCACTTAGAGACTCCAGGTTTAGGGTTTAGGGTTTAGGGTTTAGGGTTTAGGGTTTAGGGTTTAGGATTCAGGAATATACCTTAAATCATATCAGGATTCCTAGTATAGTTTAAGGTATACCTGTAACCGAAAAGACCTACCTTTTTTTCAGAAACCATGATAAGGAGCCCTAAAAAGGTAGGTCTTTTCGGCTACAGGTATTCCTTAATTAAGGGGTTTTGGAGTTTGCGGGCAGCTCCCAAGCCGCAGTCGGCCCCGATCGACTGCCAGCCTGAGGGGTTCCCGTTTTAGGGTTTAGGGTTTAGGTTCGAGGGTTTAGGGTTGAGGGTTTAGGTTTGAGGGTTCAAGGTTTAGGGTTTAGGGTTTAGGTTTGAGGGTTTAGGGTTGAGGGTTTAAGGTTTAGGGTTGAGGGTTTAGGGCTTAGGGTTCAGGTTCGAGGGTTTAGGGTTGAGGGTTTAGGGTTGAGGGTTTAGAGTTTAGGGTTTAGGGTTCCTCTTGTATTCTTTAGGGCTGACTTAGGGTAACATAGGGGCCACAATAATTGGCAATACTACTTTGGGGGGGTTCTTTAATATAACTATGCCATAAAGGACCCCCCAAACCCTATGAAAATTATTAAGGCCCCTGTATTAGGGTAGTGACCCATCTTAGGGGCCCAGCTCGGGCCCCTGGCTTCCTGCCCAATCTGCGTGAGGACACACTTTGGACAACCATCCGGCGACATTTTGCCGCGTTGCGGAACATGTCAAAGTGGTATGCCGCTCGTCGAAATGGAGTGAGGCTCGACACCCTAAACCCTGGCTTGCTAGCCGATCATGACGTGCGAATACCAAAATAGGAGCTTCCATATTTACCTAAAAATCAGTTCCTTAGTCTCGATATCCTATGTCAGGCTTGGGCGGTATATTATACACCGCCAAAACCACTTCTGATGAATCAGGCCCTTGCATTCCTCGCGAGGTTTAGCAAGAATGTGAATTGAGGTTTCATTGCCGTTTTGACTTCGCTTGTTGTCGTATGCACTCCGGAGTTGCATCGGTTGCAGACGCTAAGCCCTAAACCCTAAACCCTAAACCGTGGTGTTTGCTAGGCAGTGTTGCGACCTCTAGCATCAGATGTCCTCAAATATTGCTCTAATCTCTCATCCCTACACCCTAAACCTTTAATCTCTGAACCTTCATTTTAAGCCCTTTAAGCCCTAGACTCTAAACTTGCTCCCTAAACCGTAAACTCTGAACCCTCCTCCCTAAACCCTAAATCTCTGAACCCTCCTCCCTAAACCCTAAATCTCTGAACCCTCCCCCCTAAACCCTAAATCTCTGAACCCTCCTCCCGAAGCCCTAAATCTCTGAACCCTGAAATCTACACCCTGGGCCCCGAAACCTTCGACCCAAAGCTTCAGCTTGAGCCTGAAACCCAACCTAGCCCCCGACTCCCATCCCCTAGGATTTGGGGTTTAGGGGGGTTTAGGGTTTGGGGGGATTTAGGGTTTAGGGTTCAGGGTTCAGGGTTTAGGGTTCGGGTTAGGGTCCGCCGACCCTGGCGGCGTGTTGGATGGGTCTCGATTCGATGGGTTTGGAGGTGTTAACCTCTTTTTCCCTC